TTAATACATTTATTATTCTTGCTGCAATGTTTAATTTTTCAAAAAAAAATCGGGGAAAAAAATAAAATATGTACAACATGGCAAATGTAACAAAATATGTACAATGCAACAAATACTGTAAAATATATTCAAAGTAACAAATGTAATAAAATATATACAATATAACAAATACAGTAAAATGTATACAATTTAACAAATCCGTCAAAATAAATACAATCCTTAATGGTATTATTATCCGTTAACTCTGTTTGACGCGACATTCAATTCACTTAAAAAAAAGAAACAATACAGATGGTTGCTATAAATGCATAACTGAAATGTATCAAATAAGGATGTTAAATACACGTGATTAGGTCCTAAGCCGGCATGCATTAGCAAGTATTTGCTCTTGTCTATAAATAAACTCTATTCATGATATAAACTTCCTCCTGAGCAAACTGGTACCCGGTTAGTTACTGTTCATTTCTCTTCGAAAACGGACGATAGCCGGTTCGGTTAATCGGACTTTTTTTCTCTGTCGCTGCGCGTTATGGAACGTTGATCGAGCAACAATCACCCGCGACCATTGATTATTCCATTCGCTGTTCTTCGGTCGCACGAATTCCACCGAATCTGAAACTGTGATTTACGGCTTCGTTGAAGCCCAGCAGTGTTTCAATTGTGCCCACAGAGTACATCGTCGAACGTCGGTTCGAATGAACTAATTATACCCTCGTATGGAGTAATCGTTCCATAAGATATTTGCAATTTGTACGATCCGGCTCGCAGTCGTCTTGTCTCCGCAGATAAGTATGCAACACCCGAAGTATAATTTTGCTCGGCACGGTGAGAAAGAGAAACTGTCGGCGAAGGCGTTTAATAAAGAAAATGAAGATACAAGAGAATTACATAAGATGAAACAGACTCGGCCGTGCCACAATGTGCTATAATGAAGCGGTAGACTATGTACGGTGTGTCTAAATATACGGTGCGAACTACAAAAGCGCGATCTTTCGTGCCAGAGTATAGTGAACCGTGTGGTTTTCTCTGTTTTCTGGAATATCGAGTTTGAAAATCCTCCAGACACGTGCGACTGTCTGCGATTGGCTGCCGCGTACGATCAGTGCGATGCCATAATTTTTGGAAATTAATTTAATCAAAATCATTGACATTAACAAATTATATTCATCCACATTAATGAATTGCAAAAATTAATTTCATTAAAGTCGATAAATTTGAAATATTAATTTAATAAACTTAAAGAAATACGAAAATTGATATAACTAATATAAAATGTAATTATTATTATTTATTATCGGGGCTTGTAAACCCATTAAAGCTTTTGGTATTTTTTCCCGCAACGAGTTTTAATCGAAACTACGGAGACACAGAGAATGAACAAACCATTGTTAATAATTTATTATTAATAACACAAACACGATACCAAATTTGGGAAATGACAAAATATTCTAACGGTTGATGAAACGAAGGACATTTTATCATTTCATCATTTCATAACAAAGTATAATTTAAAAAGTAACTAAATCAATAATTTAAAAGTAATTTAAAAAATAACTGAATAAGTAATTTAATGATTAAATAAAAAAATATAAATAATATATAAATATATATAATAATATATTTAAATAATATATTATATAACATATAAATAAAATATATAAATATATATAATAATATATAAATAATATATAACATAAACACGGAACATTCACTTTCACTGTTAATTGCATATATACCTTTTTGTAAGAGTGAATTTACATATGAAATGTGCAATTCTCACGACATTTTAAAGAACACGATTCGCTCGTGAATAAAAGGAGAATCGCGTTAAAAAAAACGATCTTGGGATCGTTAAACTTACAGAAATATATTTATATTATAAATGCGAATTAACGTAACTTTTGTTGAATTGCTGCCTTTTGACTTGATTTACCCTTGTATTTGTGAGCATCCTTTTGTTACCAATTGCGCTTTAAATCGTTTCGTATTATCAGGAGAGGTCTTTTTTGTGTAAACCCAGCGGTTATTAAATATTTTGCGATTTACAGGCTTCTCGACTAAAATCCACGTTTCATTTTCGCGTAAGGCATTTATTTCTTCTTCCATAGCATTAATCCAAAATTCCGTCTCCTTACAAGTAATTGCTTCATTATAATCGACAGGTAATTTCTCTGCACGAAAAGTGATCGGACAACCGTAAAATTCTGTCTGTTTAATCGTTTTCCTATCACGAAGTTGCATTACATTACCATGTTCGATCGAAGATTACAGAGGCTGTTGTGCTTGATCTGTATTATTATTAATATTGACTTTGAGTTCTGTATTTCTCAAACTAACTTTATTGTCATGTACAACTGCATCTTCTGCAATCTGCTCACCTTTTTTAAATGTATCAATATCAATTTTGTTTGCTGTTAATCTCTTGGGTTTAAATAGTACATCGCGACTCAAAACAACGTCTCCTAAACTTGGCACAAATACCCGATATCCTTTACAATTTTCAATATATCCAACTGGGTACCCTTTTACTACTTTCCTGTCGAGCTTTCTCCTCTTTTGAAACGGTACATGTACAAAGCATTCCGTCCCAAAAACTCTCAAATTTTCTATATTCGCCTCATTGCCGTACCATAAATCGTAAGGATTCTGACCCATCTGTTTTGAAGGTCCCGATCAGCTGTGTTCATCGCTTCAGCCCATAACGACAAAGGTAATTCTGATTTCGAATGTAACATTGACCTCGCGGCCTCGCTAAAATTCGATTTTCCCATTCTGCGACACCATTCGGCTGAGGTGTATACGGGATACTCCAGATATGTTTTATACCTTCATTGCTCAAATAGCGCTCGACGTCTCTATTTTTAAATTCTTTTCCGCACGATTCACTTTCTTTCAATCGAGTTATTTACACTGATACTTTGTAATAACCTGGGCCCATAACCTGTTGAGGAGGTTATTTGAAATAAAACTCGTGTGGAATGAAACACACGTAAATAACTATATCTAAGAAGAAGGAAGTGAAGAAGAGACACGGTGAACAAGCACACAGTATGACGAGTACGGAAGAACCACACGCCTAGGCGACAGTCGCATATTCTTATACCTGTGTACTCTCAGGTATTTGGAAACCATGGAAACCCTGCATTTCAGGATGTGGAAGTTTTTTAAGGGGTTAGGGTAGTCACGTGACTTTACGGATTCAGCAGATCGGCATCTGCTGTACAGATTTCGTTACAAAAATGATATTATAACCGGCATTTTCTATTAGGAATGTAAAAGAAACACAATTCAAATTGAACAATTGGAGATATTGCAATGAAATTTTCACTAAAAATAATAAAAAAAATAATAATAACAATCATTTTAATGGCGAGCTCGGCTGGCGCGAAGCGGTCCAGCCAACGAGCGCACGAAGCCCAGTTCCGCTCATTGGCTCGACCGTCTCGGGCCAGTTGATCTCGTCTTTCATTGGTCACTGTTTTTCGTTATTAACTCGTAAACAAAGTCGCGGATCGCATTTTTGCTAAGGAGAAAGTTATTTCAAATGATCCCAGAAATCTCCCTTTTCCGAATTGCGAGACATTTTTGGGGCACTCTATATATTGCGAGTCATGTACCTTCAAAGGGATACGACGACGAATTTTTCTGGGATTAGGATACATATGGACATTTCCACTACTGATTTTCAAGAAGATTTGGGCATATAAAAGGTCCAAATGCGACTAAAACTGGGCCCAGTTTCAAGTTAATTACTGACGAAGAGGAATGCTAGCGAGAATGAGTCTGATATTCTTCCGAGCATTTCAACCGAATGCATACGTATATCGTTGCAAGGTTATAAGCCCCCGCCAGCGTGACTTATCAGTGCGATAAACTGGAACCGCGATCTAGAATCCATGAAACACATACATTCACACAATTGCATTGAACTAACAAGCTTGTAATATATTATCTGTTACCAGTCAATTTGAATGTAAAATTCATTTATTTCATTTTCTGATTCGAAGCAGTAGTTGGTACAAACCCACAGAGATATATCTTTACCGCTCGAGGTATATCTTTAATTTTTCTTGTAAAAAGTTACGAGGCAACTAAACCTCCAATCCCTATAGCGACGGTCCGTGTTGACATTACATTACATCGGCTAATTCACGTTTCCGCCTTACCAAAACTCCAAAATCGCGTAACACCTCCATTCGACGTATATTCGACGAGCTTACACGTTTGACGGAGAGAGAGTGTACTGTATTTTGTCCATTGCATTGACACTTCACCGAATTCCTGGTTGGAAATTACAGAAAGTAATATTAAAATTGCATGGAATAAAATTACTAATCCTGCTAGTCCTCCCATTCAGTCAGACATGTCAGTGCTTGAACCAGATTTGAGCTACACATGGTAAGTGTTATCACAGGAGAGCAATACACCCCAACAATTGTGTTTCACACAATTTTTATTAAACTGCGAGGGAGAAGAAAGAAGGGACGAAAATGAAGAGACAGGAGCAGAAACGGAAAAACTTCAGGAAGAACCGTATGAGAACAATAAATTACGTATGGCCTATAAATTACGTATGGTTACATTGCCACATAGTGCAAGAGAATCACCTCACATGCAATACATGGTGAAGGCATTGAAATTGTATTTCTTGGGCAAGGAAAATTAAATAAGTACGTATTCATACAACGGTAAAAATTTGCAGCCGATTTGAATATGAATTATTTATAAATCAATCTTTTTTACATTTGTATTTGTTATTAGGAAATAGAGAAAAAACATCACAGCAGGCAACGATACTACACGATTCCAACGATGATACGCCATAAAACATTCAATATAGAATATAAATTTTCACAATAAATATTGAATAAATAAATATAATTGAAGTTATATTGTGTTTGATTATTATTTTAATCAGAAATATTTGTCCAAACTATATCATGTTTGATCCCAATTTAATAAGAAAACTATCAGAAATATGTTAAAAAAATACATTTTTAAAATGTTAAAATTAAAAAAAATTATGTCATTGAATTATGACTTGCTTCCGGAAATTTGATAAATTAGAATCGGAAATTAAATTGGAATTAAATTGGATTCGATAAATTACGGGGTCGTAGCAAATATCACAGTGCCAATCTCAGAATACTAAAATTCTGCAATTCCCGGAGAAATTACTGTATAGGTTCCCGTCTCCTCTCTTTTTTTTTAATAGAGTTAATTTTTTTTATTATTTGTGGCTCTATAATTATATTTTATTATTAATGGCCACGTGTGTCAGTATCGTACGGCCACGTTCTCCATTGATGTAGAGCTTTCATTTCCCCTTTCGTCATTTCTTTCTTCTTTCACGTTCTTGGTTTTTTCTTCCATCTTGTTCCTAGTATCTTTTTGTGTTTCTGTTCTTTTAGATGTATTGCTCCCGTGTTGGCTTTCATTTTCCTTCTTTTTTCTTCACTCTTTTCTTTCTTTTGTGTTCTCCTATTAGCGCATTGTCTAATTTATTTCCTTAGCATTTCCTTTCCATCTCTCTTGTTTGTTTCTATATGTTCATCCTTGTTCTTTCCATACCTTCCAGTCTTTGCGTTACCGCATTCTTGATTTTTTCTTTTCTATCTTGACTGGGTAGACTATTTTGTGTTCTATTTTTATTGTGTGATGATTTGTTGCTTCCACAATCCGATGAGATGGCCAATGATTCCTCTGATTTATTTTTATTTCTGTTTCATCCTCATCCCAACGGCTTCTGGTAGTTGTGTTCCCTTTCTGTAATCTCTTTCTTTTGGTTTTCCTGTATTTTATTATTATATTGTATTTAGGTTGAAGGGTTTTTATGTAAAACTCATAACTATAGGTCTTTCTTGGATTTTGTTTTTTATTTCTTCCAGTTTGTTTATCCAGGTTCTATTGCCCTTCCTGTTCTCCATTTCTGTTTTGTGACTTTGTTCTTTTATCTTCTTTATCAATATATTCTTGTTTATACTTATAATTTACTATAATTTCTTTTTTAGTTTTTCCATGATGTCATGCTCTTTTACGGTTCTCAATATTTTTTCTTCTTCTCAATATTTTTTCTTTTGTCTTCCCTTTGCCTATTCTTCCTACTTCAACTTGTACTTCTTTCTCTTCTTCTTGTATATTTTTTCAGTGCGGATTCAATCTATATTGTACTCTTCTTTCCCTTTCTCCTATTCTATTGACATTCTCTATGCTCTTTTCGTCTTTCTCTGTTTTCTATTTTCTTTCCATGACTCTTCTTCTTTGTTTGTATTCCATGACATCGTCTGTCTAGTTAGTCTTTTCCACTTTGATCGTCTTTTTTTCTGTGATCCTAATTTTGGGAATTTATCTTTATCCAACCTGCCTTCTAGATCCAACTCGTTAGTGGCCATTTTTCTTGACTCTATAACGGACTTGTATTTGTAGGCCACTATTTTGTTGATCGTATACTCTATCTGGTAGATAACGCTGGGCTTATGACCGTATCTTAGGCATTTGTAGCATATATTGATGTCTTTATTGTATATGGCTTTACATCTAATGCGAATAATCCTTGGCAAATAAGTAGTTTTTTTGGGAGTGAATATCTCTCGACCTTTATTAAGAGTTTGTCCATGTTTTTCCCACACGTATTCCTCCTGTCTCTTAATCCTTTTCGTAAGTCTTTCAACCGCGAAGTTCCTTTGGCCAGGTTTCACGTCATCCACCAGCTAACAGATGAGCCCATTCCAATCCACAATTTTCTGTTTATTATCTCCCCTCGTAGTCTCGGTCCCTTCCTGTTTTATCTTTTTGTCTTTGTTCGTTTCAACTTCTACTATTGTTTCCGCGGCTAAACTTTCGTCTTCTTCTATATTTGTACTAGTATCGTTAGTCGTTAAGGGCCTCTCTCCCCTTGCATATTCTTGTTATTACTTCTTCTCCCTCTTGAGGTTCCTCCTCCAATCTCATCCTTTTGTTTGTCTTCCTGTTCGTTCTATTGGCCCTTCCATTATTTCCTATAGTTGCACGTCTCCCTGTTCTGTGTTCTAGCTCTGATTGGTCTTCGACCATTCTTTCCGCAGATCGGTTCAGTACTAGCATACCTCTGGGTTTCATTCTCTCCCGGAAGGGACTACCATGCTCGGTCTGTTCGGCTTCTACCGGCTGCTTCATGCGTTTACTTTTTTCATGATAGTGAGCTTAGGGAATATCCCTAACCTCATATACCCAAGTTTAATCGATTCAACATAGTTTCTACATTTTTAATCNTCTTCTTTGTTTGTATTCCATGACATCGTCTGTCTAGTTAGTCTTTTCCACTTTGATCGTCTTTTTTTCTGTGATCCTAATTTTGGGAATTTATCTTTATCCAACCTGCCTTCTAGATCCAACTCGTTAGTGGCCATTTTTCTTGACTCTATAACGGACTTGTATTTATAGGCCACTATTTTGTTGATCGTATACTCTATCTGGTAGTTAACGTATTTTTTATTTGCTATCATATAGTCCTTGCTGCAGTTAATGCAGTGTGGCTTCTTTTCGCATTTACTGTGGTACGTCTGTCCACATACGAGGCGTAGCTGGCTTTCCGTCCTGCACTGGGCCTATGACTGTATCTTAGGCATTTTTAGCATATATTGATGTATTTATTGTATATGGCTTTACATCTAATGCGAATAATCCTTGGCAAATAAGTAGTTTTTTTGGGAGTGAATATCTCTCGACCTTTATTAAGAGGTTGTCTGTGTTTTTACCACACGTATTCCTCCTGTCTCTTAACCCTTTTCGTAAGTCTTTCAACTGCGAAGTTCCTTTGGCCAGGTTCACGTCATACACCAGCTAAGAGATGAGCCCACCCCAATCCACAATTTTCAATTTATTATCTCCCTTCGTAGTCTCGGTCCCTTTCTGTTTTATCTTTTTGTCTTTGTTCGTTTCAACATCTACTATTGTTTTCGCGTCTAAACTTTCTTCTTCTTCTATATTTGTACTAGTATCGTTAGTCGTTAAGGGCCTTCCCTTGCATATTATTTTTATTACTTCTTCTCCCTCTTGAGGTTCCTCCTTCAATCTTATCCTTTTGTTTGTCTTCCTGTTCGTTCTATGACCCTTCCATTATTTCCTATAGTTGCACGTCTCCCTGTTGTGTGTTCTAGATCTGATTGGTCTTCGACCATTCTTTCCGCAGGTCGGTTCTGTAGTAGTATACCTTTGGGTTTCATTCTCTCCCGGTAGGGGCTACCATGCTCGGTCTGTTCGGCTTCTACCGGCTGCTTCGTGCGTTTATTTTTTTCATGATAGGGAGCTTAGGGAATATCCCTAACCTCCTATACCCAAGTTTAATCGATTCGACATAGTTTCTATATTTTTAATCACAATTAAACACCACTCGTTACAATTCCAATCACGCGTTACCCGTGTTCTACCGGGACGGTAGACAGAGTCGGTAATTCAGACCCTGAAACCAGAAAAAAGCATTGCATGCAATGTCTGTACGGATCATAAGTTTGTGAATATACTAATACACAAAAAATGAAAATATTCCGAAAGGAAGTTTATATCAAAAAGATATAATTTATTTATTAAATGTATGTATATATATATGTATATTCATGAAGAATAGACAACAAGAAAAGACAAGTTGTCATATATTAATTATATTCGAAACTTTTGCAATAGAAAGTAAAGCAGGACTGAATTGTTATATTAAAAGTTAATTAATGATTATATTATAGTCGTTTAATTTTTCATTCGGAAATATTTATGTGCAAAGGGTTACCATTCACATTCCATTTGTAGCAGATGGTTAGCTTTATAAGCGTGTAGAGAGCGTCACTTGACTGTTCTATCTTCTTTAAAAGTTGGCTTATCTTTTCTTCCATTTTTCTCGGAATAAACATAAAGAAGGATATCAATAGTTTTGAGCTAGTTACTAAATTTATTCTCCAATAATTTTTGCATTACTGTAAAAATTTCGTTAGAAATTTATTTTACCATTAAGCTCATATTTATTCGCGTATCATTATGTTTATTTAAATGTAATATCTTCCTACGTTACAAATTTATTTTACCATTAAGCTCATATTTTTTCGCATATAATTATGTTTATTTAAATGTAATATCTTCCTACGTTACAAATTTATTTTAAATATATTTTTATATATTGTTTTATATGTTTTATAGCTCGAAATATTTTTAAATTACAGCCTTCATTATTTATATTTATACGAGTTTACTCAAGCAAAAAATATTATATAATTAAATATGTCGTATTTTATAATTAAGAATACCTACAAGCTTCTCCCCGTGACTGGCACATTCATTTAAATACTTTCCATAAAGTTAGTTATTTTTACTAGTTTTTGTTCTGGCATTCTTTCCGAAGTATTTATCTCAATTTCAGAAAGTTGTCTTTTATATACGTAATTTGAGGAAATTAATGTAACCGCATACAATTAGTAGTATTGGGAGTAATAGAAATTTGGGGGTTTGCAGACAGATTTGTAAATAATTTTGGGAATTATTATTTACAATTTTCGTGTAAATGTCAATAATTAGGGCGCTCCTTTTGGACAAAGTCGCGAATTATATCATTATTTATTAAACCGATGAAAAATCAGATCGACAAATATAAATTTTTCTTGGAATAATTCAAAGAAAAATAATAAAATATGAAACGTACGGAGTTCTGTTCAGTCACGCCACTAATATTCAAGGTCCTTATTGATTCCGGGTGATCATGTTGGGCGCGACGAGATCGCCACAGATGATTTTGTTTTATCGAGAAATGATTCGTCGCTCACGGAACTATCTCGAATTCGCATCTCGACAGCAGAACTCGATTCGATCGCATTACACGCCACTATTTTTATCATCGGCGATCTTGACATCGACACAGATCGGATCCG